AAAAGCCCTTTGTAAAAACCACAGACTATTATGAGCTCTAACAATGCAACCGCTGGGATTGTCCCAAAAAGCCCTAAAAAGCCCCAAACAGTTCTCTGTTGCTCCAACAATCAGTTGATGACAGTGGAGCAGTGCCAAGCCACCAGAGACAAGCCAGAACAGTTTCAATGCTGCCCCAGGCATGTGAAGTGAGGCAATTTGGTTTTTTTTTCTGGGAGAATTGGTTCTTAGAAGCTGCCTGTAGGTTGACAGTGAGATTCATGAAGCTAAAACCTGTTCCTAATTAGGCTTTTGGTTTTGATAAGGAATTGGAGGTAGCAACGAGTCTCAACTCATGGCGAACACTGGAGTGTTTGCCAACTCCTGGAGTCACAGTCTGGACTAAAAAATTGTGCTAAGGAGCTCAAGAGAGACCTCATCTACCAGCACGGCCAGCACATCCAGTCCTGCACTCCCAGCACTAAACTGCTTTGGTTTTCCTTTAACATGAAAAGTGAGTCTGACAGGGAAAGGCTTCTGGTTCTGAACAGGTGCATGATGATAAATCCTTCATTACAGAGCTTGATTAACATCACTGTATACAGAGATTTGAAACGTGGAATGTATGATTTCAAGGAAAAAGGCAAGGAAGGTGGATCCACACAGCATCCTTTCTATCCTGAAAAGTAGCAAAGTATCTCCAGAACTGACATCAAGGCTCAATAAAAATCGAGCCCACTAAGGGACTTACACTGTGCTCAGGACAAGTACCACTGATTTCTCAGCAGTACCTTATTCAGGTAACTTCTAGAACAGGCCAACAAATTCAAAGGCAGGGAATGTCTTTGCTACAGAAACCTCCAGTTTTCTACTATAATAAATCCACCGTGGCCTTTGCAGGATTATATCAAAGAGTTAGAAATACATATGGCTTTTTTCCTTCTTAAAAGCAAAGGAAAAGCTATAAAGCTCTGATTTAAAGGCACACTTTAATTAGTTAGATACACAGAAATCAACTCTGACAAACAAAGAGGTAGAGCAGATGAGATCTGACCTATGATAGTTTCAAAAAGACACAGCCTTCAGTGACACCATCTCTCAAGGAAAATAATAATAATAATAATAATAATAACAATACAAGGGACAACATTTAAGCCACCTCAGCCACAGAAAAAGGAGGAGCAGGAGGACACAGTTTTGGTGAGCAGAACCATAAAAGAACAGAGAATACTGGACAGTCTTCTGTAAGCAAAGAGGTAGCACTGACTCCTGCAGACAGACACTCTTGGATGCTACAGCCATGAGGAAAGACAGCAGGCCAGGAGGAAAAGCAGAATATCTGTCTATACAACTGCAGACACACTTTTTACCCCATTAACCATCTCCTCCTACATTTAACCAGCAGGACAAGACACAGCACAAGGTACTCCTCTACTCAATGCAAGTGCAACTGTTTTCCATTTCTGGCAGGGAGATTCCACTGCAAATCCCCTCCCACCCCCCCCAAAAAGGTCATTCATGCTTTACACATCTTATATTCGGCAGTACATGGAGTGCTGTCGCGTTTCCTACAAACAAAAAAACAAGTCAAATCAGAGATTTTTACATTTAAATAGGTTTTACATTTTATACTGAAAGCACAGCCTTAGTTCTGTCATTAAATCAACAGGTAAAAGTCACGAAACTAAGTCATTATTTGTCCTCTCCTTACTAAGCAGCTGCTGGACTGAAGAGATTTTTGCCTCATTCTCTGCTAAAAAGTGTTAAGAACGACCCAAGGAGTAGAAAAGCCTTTGATCCAAAGGGATCATTTCAAGTGATGAACAGACCATGCCTGAGTATTGTCAAAAACTAACAACAGAACAGTCAGAGGATTCCTCACTGAACTGGAGACCACACCAGGGGCACCCCTTGTCACTCATTTTCAATTCAGTTGGTTATTTAGTACATATTTTCTAAGCAGAAACTATCAGTCTGTGAGAATTTTGATTTTGTGCTCTACCAACAGCAAATTTATAATACTTAAACACACAAGAATTACAATTCAAAACAACATTCTTATATATGTTTCAAGATCTTGAATAACTCCTGGTTTGCTTTACCAAAAAAAACAACCACCCCACACCAAACCTCTGTACTATTATTCCAAGTCTCTAAGGAGTTCTACATAAGAAAAATTCAGAATTAACAGTGTTTTCACACACCAGACCAGTCATTTCTCTTATTATTATCACAAGTACAGGTAAGATTCAAATGAAGAACTCTATCTCTTGATTCCTTTTTATCCTCTCCAAAAATAAGCCCAACTAACTGAGAAAACTAATCCTATCTTAATTAGAAACATCTTTCTTCAGAGGTAAAGATGATATTCTTTAATCCATACATTATTTTGGGAGTAACTCCAAGCTTAATCTTTATATATGCCATCTCAAAACTTACCAAAAATACTGAAAAATCACCTGTTCTTCACAAGTCAATAAAAAACAGACCTTGGCATTAAGTTTGAGCAAGAGACACAACCACCCATCACCTTCTAAGAACTTGTGCAATGGAGAAAAGGGACACAAAAGAAGATAATATTTTAAGAAAGTATTTGTAGTGCCAACTCTCTTAAGTTGTCATGACAAAATATTGACAAATATTAATCAAACTAAGCTGTTCTGTCTTAAATCTGTTCTGTTGGAACCAGGTTTGAAGAGCCAGATTTTGAAAGAGCACATTTGACCCCACCCCAAGTGCAATCCCAACCATCATCACTGGACTAAGCACTAGTTTAAAAAACAGAAGAAATTAGTTGCAAATAAGCAACTATATTTTGATCCTTTTTAGGGCTACAGAACTCTGAGAAAGAAACCAAAGAAATTAAAAAGAAGATCTTGTTAGAACCTTCATTTATTTATATTTTACTCCTAAGAAAGAGAAAATGCAGGTGAATCAATAATTCTGAGAGACATGGGATCTGGTTTGCTCTGAAGGGAGGCAAATTTTAAATATCTTTAGAATTTTAGTGTCCAAGGGTGGTTTCCAGCCTCAACTGTCTTTTAATCATAGGGAATTATACTATTAGCTAAGAAAAGTAACAGCACTGGAATCCACTTCACATTATTGAAATGGGTGCAAACATTCTACAAAGTATGTAATGTGTTACTCATTCTTCAAAGACAACTCAACACTAAGAAATGTGATATGCAATCACTGGAAGCTACTGTTTACACTACTGAATGATAATTCTTTATATATGATACCCTATTCTCCCAAAATGAATGAAAGGTTATGATATTCTTTCCTATAGGAAGCCAAGGTTCACAAATTCCACACTTCTTAAATTCCAAGTAAACCCCAATAAAAAGATACTTAAGCTTCACTGCAAAAGTCCAAATGAAGTGGAAAGTGTATACCTTTTAAAGATTCAATTAGTTCATGTATTCAGTGTCTTCCATCTCAGCTGGGGCCTTAGCTTTTAAAATACATGTTTCCTTGCAACTCTCATCAACTGTGTACGAGCTGAACAGCAGAAGGGGAAAAATTTCAATTCTAATTGAATGTCCCATAAAACTGGCAGATTAAACACATATGAGAGAGGGCAAGGAAAGATTTGCTGCCACTTGAAGACCACGGACCAGCAAGTAGGGGGTGGAAGCACAACAGTTCACAAAGGCTCAGCTACGTCAGGGACTCGGAAAACTAAACAGGGAGACAAAAGCCTTAATAAAAGGAGATTAGATCAGGGTTTCCAGACAAGGAAGAGGTTTAACAGTCAGATGTTCACAGAGGGAAGGATAAAGGAAAGCACTAAGCACAATAAGGCTTTGAAATTGCTGCAAAATATTCAGAAATATAACATTCTTTAATTTTTTATGACGTTGCTTTAGATCCCTCCTGCTCTCTGCACCCTGAGAAGCCTCTCCACGGATGAAGACAAAGTGCTGCCCTAATGCTCTGAGCTCCCATGGACTCTTCTTTGGCCCAGACTGCAGGATATCCAAGTCATGGATGAGAAGGAATGGCTCAAAAGCCTTAAATTCCTCAGCAGCACACGGGCACCCTGTCACCCTGGCCCCTGGAATGAACCTGTGCTGCCCTTGTAGGAGGTACTAAGGCTAAAACCTCACTGCACATCAACTTTCTCCCAAGTCCTCTGTGTGTACTTCACTACAGCTATGAACCACAGGAATATTTCCTCTGATTTACTCTATTTAAAGCATCCCTGTCTTGGCTTCATGTGCTCCAGGTAAATTCCAAGAGATTTTGTTAAAAGATCACCCAGTTTTTATGAGATGCTTATCCTAACAATCCATGTGCACCACCTAACTTGCTCTGAATTTTCAGTGTTTTGCATGTTACAAACTGTTTCTCCAGCAAAACAGGCTTCTTTCAAGAAGACAAAAATCAGGCATTACAGCAAGAAGTAATGCACAAAAAGTAATGCATTTAAATCTCCTGCCACCTCTCCATGAAAAAGCACACATAAACCCAGCTGGTTTGAAGATAAAAGTTCAAAACACCCTTTATGTCTCATCAAAAACAGAAGAACACTTACTTATGTATGAATCTAACATTTACAGTTCATTTTGCAAGTCTTTAACACAGGGACACCAACATTGCTGCTGCAGGAGAAAAAAAAAAACCTGAAAACCTTCCAGTAGCACGAGCCCACACAACCAACACTAGCCCTGGTTTTAAAAGGTAAACATGACATGTTTTTAGCAGGTAACAAAAGTACTTCCCTTGGCAGGTGTAAATATGCCAAACACAAGCTTAAGAACAAGGTTTTTCCATCCCTGAAATCAGTGCAAGTGTTAATTAGCAGCTTAGCTGAACAACAGATGCAAAAACAAAAGTCAAATATATTGTTAGGCTTTAGCTTCCATCAGCTGCTGTGAGAAGCTCACACACAAATCAGGCATTTGAACAAGAAAGGGCAGATAAAGCTCAAGAAACTCACACATGTCAGCACAGCTTTTGCTCAGTCATCTGGAAATTTGCAATAATAACAGTAATAAAAAAGGAAGCTTACTCACCCATTCTGTGAAAAGAATTTCTTATAGGCCCAGAAGGCTGCCAGGAGCACCACGATCACCACAAGCACTTCAGGAAGAATTAAAAAAAGAAATAATAATAAAAAAAAAGCTTTAGAGTGATAAAGATCATCTCTAGCTCATAACAAAAGCATCAAAAAGTTTTGCAGAAATAGCATTATTTTCATCCACAGGTTTACAGCACCCCCACCCCCTCAAACAAATCCCCAGCCCAACTTATTTATTAAATAAGATATGCAAATGAAGTATTTGATGCTTTACTCAAGACTCTTAAATCAGCTCAAGAACAATGACCACCAAGATGGCAAAACCCCACCAGTTCAGTAACATTAAAACAGGAAAAGACAAATCAGGAATGATGACAACCCCCTAACAAAACTTCTTACAAGTTTATACAAAACTGGGTAACAAATTCAATGACAGAAGATGGACTAAACACTTCTGTTCAATGGCAGAGTAATTTACTCAGCACTTCAGTAAACACAAGCTCTGAAGTTTATCAAAGAGATCAAGTAAATCTGACCTCACAAACAGAAAAAAACACACATTTACACTAAATTAAACCGTAATTGCTTAGCAATCTTAACTTTTCTTGAATTATGCAGCCTTAACCAAAACTCCAAAATCTGCAGTCACAGGTGACTGGGATCAAAAATAAAATAACATTTCCACATAAAAAAAAGACAATCAACATTGGGTCTCGTTCAGGTTTCAGAAAATACTTACCACAGATGCAGGCTATGACATATCCACCTAAAAACAGAGGGAATCAGTATCACAAGAGGAACACTGTGCTTCTTATTCAAACATTATTATAAAAACATTCACAAAGCTACTCCAAGCAGATCAAGCATGCTTGTCAACACAATCTTTGAAGCAGGTCAGTTTACACCACAACATCTACTTAACTTAAAATATTTCTGTTTTCAATTGATTTTAGCAAGCTCTATTCTTTTTCATGCCAAAATAAAGGAGGAAGTCGCGTTCAATTATTTCTCCCGAATATAAAAGGACATTCTTAAGCAGCAAAGCTTCTCTCAGAGGCGCTTTCAGTGGAAGTCCTTGCAGCTCATACTTACTCAGCTGGCAGGTTGGCACTCCAGGAGACCACTGGTTTCCTCCCATATACCGAATTTCAGCTTCACCTTGTAACGTGTACCCTGCGTAGCATTCAATGGTAATACAATCCCCCACAACATAGGAAGGCTTTTGTCCCACAACTACTCTACCAAAATTTATGACTGGAGTGGAACCAGAACTTATGCCTGGAATAGAACCAGGACTTGTGCCTGGAGTGGAACCAGGACTTTCAGGCCCACCTGGAAAGAAAACAGGGAAAAAAAAGAAAAGCCGTAACTACAGCAGATATTTAAAACTTGTCACTCTGCCTCTGATTTTACCAAGTATGAGTTTTACTCACATCTACACTCTGGAAAATAACTCCATGTCTTCTGTCCCTGACAAGCCACTGTCACCTCTTTAGTGCCATCAGGAAAAGAGCAGCGAGCATTGCACTTTATTTTAACAGACTCTCCTTCATTATAGACAGATTTCAGCGGAACCACAGCTCCGTTTGTGACCTCTGGAGCACCACATACATCTGCAGGAATTAACACATGAATTTAAAAACGAGCTTAGTGATAATAAACTTGAAATCATTTCAGAACTCATTAACTCACTCTACAAATACACCTTGACTTTGTGTGAGAAAATCCCTCAGCATATCTGAGGAGTTTAACTTGACCGAAATTTGAAGTATAAATATTTCCTTTAGAAGACTTAAAGAAAAATCACTGTAGGTATTCATTAAGGTAATGCAAGCTTATGATGTGGTAGCTCTGAAATCCATATTGGTTGATTAGTTTTGTAAGCTCTAGAATCATTTCCAGGTGCCTTATCAGACTCATTCACTACAGAACACTCAAGCACGCTCTCCAAAGCACTTCTCGCTCTTGTGAGCTCATTATTAAACTATGCATGTAAAAAATTCTCTTGCTGTACTGTACAACCATGTCCCCTTCCCCTCTAGCACAAAGAGGGAGGAGAAAGGTTCAGAAACACCTCTGCCATGTTCCCAGCCCTGCAAAATAGTCCTGATTTAGGAATTTGCCTGGTCAAAAATCTAACAATGTGCTAAACACCCACAAGACGCCTGCAAAGTAAGAGATTAAAGCTACATCAAACACAGAGATTTGGATTACTCCAGGATCCTACAGGTTTCTTTATTGTGCACACTCCTAGTTCTTTCTATCAGAATTCAGAAACACATATTTTCTCCTCTATTTACCCTCAAAATCACCAGAACAAACACCACAATCAATAACAGCACATCCATGTCACAAGTTCTACCACGTCTGTCACTCAATTCACCCTCAGCCAAAAACTCTTTGGAGTTAAGAGCCCCTCAAACACCTAAAATGTCACCCACAGATGGCTCCCCATCAACTTCCTCAGCTTCTGATTTACACCTACAGTGTTGTGATTTGAAATTTTAGCTAAGACAAGGCTCACAGCACTCTCAACACCCAAGACAAGTTGGAGTTTTACAGAAAGACTTACTTTTCTCACAGGTTGGTATTGGAGGAGACCAAGTGTTATCTTCTGCACAGGAAATTATATCTTCTCCAACCATGTAATAGCCTGGATTACACACAAACTGGACTGAGTCCTTGTAAGTATAGGAAGACTCAAATCCAGATATTTTGTACCCATTTTTAACTCTCGGGTTTTCACATTTGACCACTGAAAAGAGATAAAAGAAAAACAGCTCTGAAACATTTGTTAACACAAACGTAGCAACAAAAACAACACCCTGTCCCTAACTTGCAAATGTCCCAGTCCTCAAGTTGTTTTGGAGGGGTTTTATAACAATGTTATTTTCTTAAAGGTGGAGAAGGTCCTTGGTTTGAGCTATTGGGTTGTAACAGTACAGTCAAATAAGAAATTGTAATAATTGACATAATAATGTTCCACCTCCAAAAGACACACACCTGCACAGTGGCAGGATTTCAGAAAACAAATTATATTGATTAGGGTTCAAATGGCAACAGGCACCTGGAATTTCTTCCTACATCTGACTCTGTGCTTGCTGGGCTTTGGATTTATTCCTGCACTTCCCTAGTAGCTGTGTTTTCAGGAAAAGGATGCTCCCTTAGCTTTTTACTATTCCTAATCTAGCCTCCACATCCTTGCTCTTTACATAGCTTTTCTTCAGCTCCCCAGGCTTTATGGTCTCTCAGTTCCTCCACTTTGGCCTTGTCACTTCTACCAACAAGACATTCATACATGTATTTTTAAAGTTTTCACTTAAATTTTAGCCATATTCTGGTCTCTCAGTTCCTCCACTTTGGCCTTGTCACTTCTACCAACAAGACAGTCATACATGTATTTTTAAAGTTTTCACTTAAATTTTAGCCATATTCTGGTCTCTCAGTTCCTCCACTTTGGCCTTGTCACTTCTACCAACAAGACACTCATACATGTATTTTTAAAGTTTTAACTTAAATTTTAGCCATATTCTGTGCCATAAGCAATCAGTATCCACCCTGCTAACCTGATCTCCAATGCAACTGTGTAAAACTTAGTACCAGAGGATTTGCTTCTTCTTTTCTATAGGGAGGGTCCATTCCCCACCACACCCTGCTTCGAAAAAAGGGAACAGAGATCGTAACAAATACATATTAAAAAATTAAAAATCCCAGCAACCTCTGCATTGTGGAGGTGGCCCACTCCAAACTCCATTTGAGTGCTCATTAGATGTGCAGAAAATGGTATCTGAGCCGATGAGGGAGAAGGGATGTGAGCCTGCTGGGACATCATCACAGGAGTAGCTCACTGCAGTCTGATACACGTAGTTGGCAGCTTCCGTGTGGTGCCCGTTGGCAATGCTGGGAGGGGGATCACAGGGAATCACTGGAAAGCAAGCACACAGTTCACTCAGAAAGAACACTGGGGGTGTCAGCTCGTTCACCTCAGAAACAGCAAGCCTTGATTTCCAAGGAATTGCACTTAAAATCTGACACAGCTGCTCTAAGGGAAGCTACAGTTGTAGCTGGGAATCTCAATTACAACACGAGGTTGGATTTGATATAATTACCATAACTGGTATTTTTCAGTGGTCATCCTTCAGGCACATCCCAAACACCTACAGAAACCCCCCCCAAACACTCCTATTTTACCATCATTTCTTAGACTGGAAGGTTTATAAGCAGAGCTGTTTTTAAATGAACTACCACCATCTGAATAGAAAATTAATCACAGCAGTGATTTACTCACCTTCACAGAAAGGCATCTCACGATCCCAATCAACACCTTCATTCCTAATTACACAGGTAACCTGCTGGTTTCCAAATAACCTGTATCTAGAGAGGTAAACATTTTTAAAGAGGTTAAACTTAAATCTCTCATTTCTCCAACAAGCACCTAAAAAACTGGTTTATACAATTCTATTCTGTGGTTATGGGGACATAACACACCAAGGTTTTGTTGTAAGGAGAAAAGTATCTTTGTTTGTTTATTTTGCTAACGGTCTCACTTCGAAAACAAAACAGAAGCAATCAGAAACAAAAACAAAAAACTCTGAAAACAAAACAGAAGCAAACAGACATCACTAAAGAAACTGATGGAAGTCACATTTTAAGATGTGACACTAATTCCCTGAAGTTACTAATACTAAAGGAAAGAGAGGAAAAACATTGGAGAGTTTAGTACTCCTGGCTTAATTTGCTATACACAAACAAATGGGCCGTTGTTCAAAACAACAATGAAGGGTGATGAGTATATATTTATTCCCTCTGCCACAGGAGCACTAGAAGAAAGTCATTAGAGGTAACACTCTACTTTTCACTCTGCAGAATCTCCCTAAAAAGCTGAAGGTTGATGCAAACAGCACTTAAGCCACGAATCAAGTTAAATTTAGCTCCAAGTTCATTTGCTCCAGGTAGAATTCAGATTTCAAATCAGAACTGGAATGGAACCTGTACAGAAAATTTGGGTTTGGTTCAGATCTGGTGTAAACACACACACACACAAAAAGGATTCATTAACTTCACCAAAATACTTACCCTTCTCGACAAGAAAAAGTAGCAGTTGAACCAAATGTAAGATCTGTCACATCAACAACACCATTTGCTAATTCTCCTGGGTGCTTACATCTTCTCTCTGGGAGAGTGGGGGAAAAAAGAAAGGAAAAATGTATACCTCTAATTATATATACAAAGTCTTTGGCATATATTGCCCTTACCAACATCAGTGGTTTCAAAAGTGTTGTTTACAACATTGCAAAATACTAATTCTAACTTGCAAAACAAATAAAGTTGTTAAATATCAAAGGGAAAAAGGAAAACGGTACCAAAAAAAGCACACAATTACCTGTACAGAACTGCTCTTTGGGTGCCCACTGTAAGTCAGGACCACACGTAAGAGTTAAGGATTTTCCAGGGATTTTCATATATCCCGGCCGGCAGATGAAGGAGACTTGACTTCCAACAGGAAAACTCTCTGTTCCTCTGAACTTCTCCTCCAGCTCTGCATATATCAGCCTGGCTGGAGCATCACAGGCGTCTGGGAGAGGAAGGAAAAGGGAATACACCACCTTAGCAACAAGAGAAACACACCGAGGTGTAACAGCACAGAAGCCAGGGGAATTCCAGGGGTTTTAAGGATTTACTGGTAAATCCAAGAGGTGACATTCTTAAGAGCCAGAGATATTTTTATATTTAACTAGTTTCCAAATTTTAATTTAGATTTTAGTTGCATCCAAATGTTCAACTCTGTACTAGTACTTATTGTTTTCCCAGGTCCTTCAGGGTTCTACCCAGACAATGCATTTCCTTCCAGATCTTATTTTTTGTCTGCCTTTTTTTTCTTTGAAGTTAAATACACAACTTAACTCACTGTAAACCCATCGGCAGTGAAACGCTTATTTAGCTTGCTGCAGGAAAAACAAACCAGCCAGCCCCATTCAAATAGCTGATAGTGAAAATATGTTATGAAAATATGTCATGTAGCTTTCACAGGAAAAAGGAGAGCAAATCTAAGGAGCATAAAGCAGAGTTTAAAAATCAGCTGCACAATCCAACAGAGACCTACAGACCCAGGGACATTCTGGGGTTGGTTAGAATCACGAAATATCCTCAGTTGGAAGGGACCCATGAGAATCATTGAAGTCCAACTCCTAGAGCTGAAGAGATGAAACTCCTCCACACAAAAGGACTCAAAGAAACGCATTCAAGACCCTCTATATGAATCACCAGACTACATGGATCTGCAAGACTTAAACACAGAGACCAGCACCTCTCGGACACCTATCAATCTTTCCCGATCTATTTCTATTATTGTTTAGAAATTGGCCAAACCGGAAAAGAGAGATTTACCAAACCTCAAGCTCAGCGTCCCATTAGCACCAAACGTTTCTGCAGCACCACCTTCCCCCTCACCTTTTCAGTACCTGAAAGGGGCTCCAAGAGAGCTGGAGAGGGACTGTTTACAGTGGCGTGGAGTGACAGGACGAGAAGGAACGGCCTCAAACTGACAGAGAGCAGGTTTAGATTGGATATTAGGGACAAATCCTTCCCTGGGAGGGTGGGGAGGCCCTGGCACGGGTTGCCCAGAGAAGCTGTGGCTGCCCCATCCCTGCAAGTGTCCAAGGCCAGGATGGACAGGGCTTGGAGCCACCTGGGCTAGTGGAAGGTGCCCCTGCCCATGGGAGGGGGTGGAACGGGATGATCTTTATAAGGTCCCTTCCCACGCAAACTGTTCGAAGATTCAACTCCCCCCAACAACACCGCCCAAAACCTCGTGGTTCCACCGCCACCACAAGCCATTTCCTCCTCCCTCCCCGAGAAAGCCTCTGGGGCTCCCTCACCCCGCAGCACCGCCGGCACCGGAGCGGGGAGGACACCGCGACCCCTCTCCCTCCTTTCCCCCCTCCCCCGGGGCGGGGGCTCCGCGACGCACCAGCCCCTCAGCGCGCCCCTTCCCCGCAGCACCCCCCCCCCGAGCACGGGGGCAGAGACAGCCCGCTCCTCACCCTCAGCCCGCGCTCCGCCGAGCCCCCACAGCACCAGAACCGGCAGCACCGGCAGCAGCAGCGGCGGCGGCCCCATGACGGCGGCGGGGCCGCGGCAGCGCCCGCTCCGCTCTTTCACAGCGCCCGAGACGCAGCGCGGGGCTGGGGCGCATGCGCGGGCCCGCCCCGCCCTCAGCGCCAGGGCCGCGCCCGCCATTATCGCCCTCAGAGGAGGGCCCGTCCCCCGCCGTGCGGGGCAGCGGGAACCGCTCGCTGCTTATTTATTTCACCCCAGCCCCGCTCATGGGCGGTGTTCGACGAGGCCGGCGCGCCCCGGCGGGCCTTCCGCGCCGTTACTTGTGCGCGGAAATTCAGAGCCGCTTCCCGAGCGCAGCCCCGCCGTTATGATTACTTAGTAATTTCCACACAAATTACGTAATGCCGTCCGGCCTCGCCGCATGCTCAGGTGAAGGGTCTGTTTGACCTGGGGCCTGATTTTTAGTATTAAAAGGCGTGGTTTTTAGTATAAAGCATAGTTCCTTGGAATTATGGACCTGTATTCACGGACCTCGAGTGTTTTGCCATGTTTACATAAGCACACATCGACATCTCGATTTACTACATCCTTAAAGCTTGTTAGTTCCACGATGTCCTTGACTAAGGGATGCAGCTTCTGCCTGTTCCACTTATTAGTTCTCCTTTCCTACTGATGAGGCTTGAAAGGATATGAAGATCTTAGATCAAAGAACATCCCGACTTAAGATAATCTTGACATGCTCCAAATTCTGCAACACCCTCAGCCCGTTCCGTGTTGCAGAGCAGCATTAAAATAATAATAAAATAAAAAAACCCCCACCCCGTGTACACATAAACACACAAAAAACCCCCCCTTCAAATTCTAGACAGACCTAGAAAAAGACACAAAATTCTTGTCCAGGGCTCAGCTTTTATTATGTTAAACATTTCTAGAGGAACGCTGCGCGTAAGCGTTGCTGAAAGGAAATACGGAGATGTGAATGCAGCTGTTATTAAGACATTAATTAACATGCTGTGACTCCCACCCCCGCGCAAGAACACTTTAATGGGACTTGCTTATCCATATTTTTTTGGCTTTGCAGATGAAGTATTCTTGATCAGAAGCAGCACAGAGAATTCCCTCTGGGGCAGCATCCGCACCGCGTGCAGTCTGAGTGTCGTTAGATCCTTACAGTAATTAATGGGAGCAGAATGAGCATTAAAGATTTACAGTAAAGTGTCTTATTTTTGCCACAGAATTTCAGTCTCGAGCAGCACTTCCATGCAGCCCTCGCTGTGGAGAACGAGCCAAGTCCCTGGTTAGCGGCCACACGGGTGCCCAGCCTAGGAAAAAGATGACATGCTCGTGTTATAATTAGACTTTTCCTGTTTCCATGCTGATGTCTAGGGATTACATTGTCACTCAGGGAGGGAGGAGAGAATTTCTGGGAAGTGCTTTGTTTCAAAGAAGTGACCCAAAACCAAGCCTCTTTATAGTCAAAGCTGATTATGCTCAGAGCGCTGCTAACACTGAAAATTCACTCTTGGCTCCAACAGATTCAGCATAGAAAGTAGATTCACCTGTCAGTAAAAATATCATCGTAGTAAGTGCGAAAGCAAGAAAAAAAAACCAAAAGCCCAGTTCAGTGTCTTTTTCTGACACTACTGCTGGTTAAGTGGTCTTTTAGAGAGCAAGCTCTCCCATAAACCATAAAAAAATTGCAAGCAGCTTTATGTCAGAAGCACGGACTAGTCTGGAAGTCTGACCTGTGAGCACTGTCCATTCAGATTATAGAAAAGGAAAGACACACGTTGAGGTTGGTGTCAGAAAGAAAAATAGGATGTCTAAAAAAACCCCCAGTATGTTTAAAACAGTCTCTTTTATTCTGCCAAAGAAAACATCTTACCAGAAGATTAAGGGGAAAGAGGTTTCTGCTTGAATGATTACATTAGAAAAACAGTCATTCAAGTAGACAACGTAGACAACAATATAAACAAATAAGCATATAATTGTTGCAGCTATAAGTGATATTTTATGTTGAGGAATATAAATCCATACCTTCTATGGCAGACATGAGCTTTTCTGTTGAGTTACCAGATTCAGAGGGGTTTGGTAATTGTAATTTTCATATGTACGATAATAGCTAAGCAAAAAAGAAAAAAACAATGAACTGTGTTGCTTTGTAAAAGAACATTCAGGTTGGTCTCCTTTCAGGAAGAGATAAAATGACATTATCTCATCATCTCTTCCAGCTTGTTCAGTTTGCAAGCGTGAGCTGAAGGTACAGAATCACAAGACCCAGGCACATTCAGGCAAATATTTTTTTAAGCGTATAAAGTGTACAAAGCTTGGCACTTGGCAACAAAGGACATGAATAAACATCCAGAGGGCTGCCTTACCCTTCCTTCTGCTTGGAAACTATTTTCCAGACAATGCCTGCCCCCAGGAGCAGCAGAACCCCCGCGGCTGCGACTCCTGAGAGAGAAGGGCCCGCATTATTCTCACTGTGTGTTTGAAAGCACACAAAAGACGTAACAAGGTGTATCTGCCAAGTAAGCAGAAGGAAACAGTGCCACTGAGCTAAAGACCTGGCTGCAGGAATGTTTGCAAGCTGCTTACCGAGGCCTAGTGACCCAGACTTGTGTGATGCTGGAGGGAGGAGAAAAAAAGAGAAATCAGCAAACTCTTCTGACAAAATCCAGTGTTTGTCTGCTGTCCTTAATCACTTTACCAATAAACCTTTTAGAATCATAGAATGGTTTGGGTTGGAAGGGATCTTAAAGATCATCCCATTCCACCCCCTGCCATGGGCAGGGACACCTTCCACTGTCCCAGGTTGCTCCAAGCCCTGTCCAACCTGGCCTTGGACACTTCCAGGGATGAGGCAGCCACAGCTTCTCTGGGCCAGCGTCTCACTGGTAAAACTGATTTCTTAAACCCACCATTATATACTCTTTTCTTAAATACAAGAAGTTATTTTGCATGTTTAAAATGCATTTACACGTGTTTCTGTCTGATCTTTGCTTCGTTCCCATTTCACTCACTCAGTTTACAGGGTGGCACAGGAGGGTCCCAGCTGAAATCCTCTTGGCACTGAGTCTGGCTGATGCCTTGCAGCGTGTAACCATCATCACATTCAAGAGTGAGGTTGGTCCCAGAACGATAAGTGTTTCCTTTAATGGCTTTCTTAACACCTTGAACATCCGGGAATTCACATCTGATCTCTGGAATTGGAAGTAATCAAAAAAGGGCATTTAATGAGAGGGACCATAAAACGTGAGAAATACAACTGTGGGTTATTTAGAACACGGTTCTTGAATTCCTTCTGAGTGTAGCTAGGAATTAATTCTTATTCCACAGGGTAGTTCCTTTCCTTGTGGCTGCAGAAGTAGGTAAGGGTCTGCCACAAATGAATATTTGTACAGATCAGCTCCTCCACACTGATATGGCAGATGCAAAATCGTGTGTAGAAGGGGTACTTTGGGAGAAATTTGACAGAGAAGAAGTTATTTCTGATGCTGGGCTACCAAAACATTTGGAGAGGAAAGATGTAGCAGGGAAGAATTCTGTGGCAGTTTTAGAACCAGCTGCATATAAACCACTTCTAGTCTGTAAAAGTCTCTTGCCCTCCAAAGATGTCATCATCAATAATTAATTCATTAATTAGTCCACCCATCTAAGCTATTTATAAAACCAAAGTGAGTCAGTTGCTTCAATTCAAGCATCTCATCATCTTTAACAGTCCGAGACCAAGGATTCTGTTGGAAAAGGTTCTCAGTGAGCAAAGGGGTAATATCAGCATGTAATATTTACCCTTTCTTTTATGTCATATATATATATATATATTTACTATCACTTGTACTACTAATAAAGATACTTCAAAGCCACAAAAATATGGAATGGCTGGCAGAACTTTTCTGAGACTGCTTCCTTTAAGGAGCCTCTGATTTATTTACATAAGCGTTTGGTAGGTTATTTCCTCCCATTGTTATCTGAGATTTTCAATTCTTGAGTCACTGAGGCGGGTGCAGCTCCTTGTGTGGGTAATGATTATGATGATTGTCCAGTTTTTCATGCAGGAACACCCACACTAGGAATCCTGTGACGTCCATGCAATTGGCTTTAGTCAAGTTTGCCTGGTGACTGACCTCGGCAGTGCCAATTCAGAGATACAGAGAAGGGAATAGTTGTTGTCATATACAAACCATCCATCAGAGACACTTTCTCTGATATAATCACTTTCTTTGTTTCCTGTTACTGATAACTGGAGAGTGAGACACAAAAGGCAAGGGACACAAAAACGTTTCTACTCTTCTACTAAAAGTAAAAAGCTGTCAGTGGAGGGAATTTGGTGTACACCGCTTTGGGGCAACAGGGGCAGAGATGGAAAACGTGCAAGAGTTAAAACTGCCTATCAGAAGTGCCTCTGTTGGACTCACATCCTTCTGACTGTTTGCTTGAGGTTCCCATCGTGCTTCTTTACAACAATACCCTTCCCAGGGGTAACAAAGAGTAGATAAATTCCTAGTTAACAGATCAACACTTCCTAGCTGTGACATAAAAGCAGTTCCCAGGCCAAATAAGGGGATGGAATTCAGTGTTAGCTGCAGGAGATCTTACTGCTTAGATTTGGGCCCTTGAATCTCTGAAGATTGAATTTTCTCCCCAAAGTAAGACGTGTATGTCAGTGTGGCTGCACGTCCCTCAGCCCAGTCTGGTTCTGCCACCACAATTCCAAACAACAGGAGCAAAGGAAGCACAAACCCACCTTTGCACTGAGGAAGAGGCTGGCTCCAGGTTCCTGACACCGTGCAGTTGATAAAAGCATTCCCAACAAGTGAATAACCAGGATTGCAGCTGTAGGATGCAGATGCTCCATAGGGAAAAGTGTGAGAGATGTTGCCTTTGAGCTTCCCATTGGTGATGTTTGGAGGATGGAGGCACTTCACAGCTGGGAAGTTGGGGAGGGGAGAGACAAACAAGAGGATCCTGAAGGACTGCAGAGAGTGGCCAAGGCACTGTACCTTTGCAGGCTTCATTTTTCCCTCTGAATTACTTCACCTTGGCTCAGTAACCTGTACCCCTGTCACTCCATCAGGCTTTGGAAATGGTTATAAACCTGATCTTGTTCTTATCACACATTGTGTAGTGAAGGACTCAGATGCAGTCCTTCTACAAACCTTTCCCTAAGGCAAGACTTGTTAAATGTCCTTTGT